TATATATATATATATATATCGCCCAAACCCTAGCCTTATACCCGTAACCCATGACCCCAAACCCGGGCCCTAAAACACTAAAATGCCAAACCAATATATTATTAGTACACCTTTCGAATTCTCGGGTTTCAAGGCGTGCGGCAGCGATGGGCACGGCATCATTGGAGGCAGGATGCTCCACTGCCCATGGCACCGACAGTCGCCGAAAATGATCCCAGTACTCCCTGCCCAAAAGGAAGATTTAGGGTTCATTAGGGTTTAGGGGTTTAGGGTTTCCTGCTGAGCGGCTGTATGATGTCGTCACTGATCATAACATGCTCGGACCGCCACAGAAACTCGATGTACTCATGGGGATCGATGAACGGCAATTGTTTGTTCACCCTCTTGGTGTCGTCTGTTGGGTCCAGCATTGGTACCGTGATCCAAGCGAATTCCTTGCTTGCTGCAGGATCAGTACACGCTACATCTTACGGCCGCCGCCCCAGCCACAGGATTGCATATTGCACTATATTATTAATACGAGTTGCTACGGGCATCCTCACGAGTCTAAAGATATCGCGATCATGATGCGGGTTCGTTGTGTCGAGACTTGCAAGCTTTCTGGTGATGGCACCCATAGAGCCAGCACCGCCTTCCTGCAGGTTTGAGAGATTTCGGATGTCAGGGCTAGGCCTAGGGATGGCTTGCGAAATATTCATCTATCTATATAATATATATATATATATATATTATAGCTAGGGGTTGTTAAAAATTAGCTGGCTACCATAGGGTTCGAATGGATCACTAATAGTGATTATATATATGCTGTAGCTTTTCAAATTTAGGCTTCAGATTCGGGTCCTTCAGAGCAGCCACCGCGCTCGAGACAATACCCTTCGAGGACTCTTTGCCTTCGCCCAGAGATTTCAGCCTCGGGCATAGAAGGTTAAGGGTCGAGGGTTCAGGGGTTTAGGTTTAGGGTTTGGGGTTTCGGGGTTTAGGGTTTACATGTGGAGGCCAGGGGCTTAGGGTTTAGGGGTTTAGGTTTAAGGTTTGGGGTTTAGGGGTTTAGGGTTTACATGTGGAGGCCAAGGGTTTAGGGTTTAGGGGTTTAGGTTTAGGGTTCGGGGTTTAGGGGTTTAGGGTTTAGATGTGGAGGCCAAGGGTTTAGGGGTTTGGGTTTAGGGTTCGGGGTTTAGGGTTTAGATGAGGAGGCGAAGGGTTTAGGGTTTAGGGGTTTAGGTTTAGGGTTCGGGGTTTAGGGGTTTAGGGTTTAGATATGGAGGCGAAGGGTTTAGGGTTTAGGGGTTTAGGTTTAGGGTTCGGGGTTTAGTGGTTTAGGGTTTACATGTCCAGGCGAAGGGTTTAGGGTTTAGAGGTTTAGGTTTAGGGTTCGGGGTTTAGGTGTTTAGGGTTTACATGTGGAGGCCAAATTACATATGAACCGCCAGGGCATTCTTCTCGCCATCATCCTCGTCGTGTCTTTTGCGCTTGGTCCCTGCGGTAGGGACACCGGTACCATTATAAACAATAGCTAGCAGCTAGCAGATCATCAAGCACTCCTGATTGAATGCATGCTGCAGAGGCCAGAACCTTTTTGGCGCCACGTCTGCTCCCAGGAGGCATGGTGTTGGACACATGATCAGGAACGGTTGTTAAAAACGATCTTTGATGCACATGCATGTAGCATGCGACCAGCTGACACCCACTGTACGCCCTCCTGCCTCTAAGCTCGGGTGACTGCTTCGTTCGATTTTGGAATTTAAAGCCCAAGCGAGGTATCTACAATTGAAGTGTTGCAGCAGTACCCATGGCATAGGCAAGAAGGATATGTACAAAGGCCCCGCAGCAAACAAAGATCGAGATCAAAACCCGATCCGAACATCTCGATGCTCGAACCTCGGATCCCTCGCTGGGACCCTCACTTCTTTTTGGCACCCTTCGCCTTTGCACTAGCTTTGGGCTTTGTCTCCTTCAAGTGCCGACGCTCAGCCGATCTCACGGGCTCCGAAACCGTCTTGAAGTCTTCCAGGGCCGCTTGAAGGGCCTTACAGGATGCTATAGCTATATTATACTGTTTGCGAATTCGAACACTATACAGCTAGGGTAGCTATAGGGTGAACTAGTATATATATATATATATATGTAGCTAGACAACCCAGGAAGCACCTCCACGAGAGGCTTCAGCTGCGAATCCGTCATCTTTTTACCCAAGCCCTGTGCCACTATGTTCTTGCACTTCTCAAGATCTGCCACGGCCGGCAGGATGTCGGCGAGGATCGCTTTCTTCATGTTGGTGGCCCTGAGCCCAAGCGACTGTTTGCTATGATTCTAGTAATTACCCGGGTTATAGGGCCCC